AATATAATAATATCTTTGAGACACATGCGAAATATAATCTTTCAAAGGCAAACGCATTCAGAATCAGACACATTCGCTCGCAAATCCCATTTTATGTGAAAACAGGATTGAGGGTAGGATTAAACACGATACTGAAAGAATCAATAATAAAGTAGTGCGAGTTTTTACTGACAAATTCACGGTAAATTTAACTATCCGCACGTCGGAAACTCGGTCATCGCACGCCTATCCGTATACTTTCTAGAAATCGGTCAACGCATGTTTGACATTTATGTGTGACGACTCACCCCATTGACTAAGAATCGCTTTTTCTTTCTCACGTTTTGTACTGATCTTCAAAGATAATTTAGACATGAGAAATATCTAATTCTCGTAAGGTAAATCTTACACAAAGTTGTACCGACAACAACGCTCGCACGCTATAAATATTGTCTCATTCACGGACTGGCCTCTCGGTTATTGTACGTTAAGAGAGAACGATATGCGCTGGGTATATTAGATATATGAATAGTTATTGCTACATACTGCATTGCGTTCTTTCTTCGAATCGCTTAATGAATTCGGTTGCAATACAAAGTTGATCGAGTCAACCGAGTAATACGCAACGCACGACTGTGCAGAAATCGAGAAAAACATAATGCGCATGGTGTAAATACGTCGACTCTCTATTAAACATGTATTTTAAAAAAGACGCAAGCTTAAATCAATTATGTAAATTAATTATGTAAGTTGTATATATTACAAGATTCATCTATACTATTGTATATAATACAATTTTTATATAAATTTTAAGATTTCTGAATTTAAATCCAGAGCTCTGGTGCTTCCAGATTTAATTTGAGTGACATTTATAGTCTGTTCTTATTTTAAGAACGTCTTAAGTATTGTAATATCTTAAGATGCTAATACGATGCTTTCTAATTGATTCTTAAAGAGGTCTTAAAATTGGTACCCGACTGTAAATATCAGCTTTTGACTCTCGATAGTTTTACTCACCACTTATAAATTCTAGTGTCCGACTGTATTGTTAAATCTGCTGAATTGATTTTGCAGGTGCAGTTCTTCCTGGTGTTTGTGCATAGCGCACAGGCTCTCATCTTCGATTGTGGCTATCCCAAACTGATTGCGGCCCTCCTTCTACTTCACGCGACAATCTTCTTCGTGCTCTTCTCCGACTTTTACAGGTCCGCTTACCGCAAAGGAAAGTCCGCAAAGGAACTCAAGGCTGAATAGAACACACGAGGGAACATACGAAAGGGAAAATCTTCGTTCCGACGAACGAAACACGCAATACACACGTACACACATGTCGCGTCGAAATGTGGCTCCTTTCTACACCGGTGAACTTTTACGCTCGTTAATGTATCGACAGATGAGGAACTCATTGACCAGTCATATATACTTGAAAATGGAAATTGGGTCAAGAAAATGCGAGAGAAATTTAAATATTTAAATATACAAATATGCAATATATGTTTATATTTAGGCGCGAAATATCGAAATTCCTAATCTACTCTAAAAACAATAGAATTGTAAATAGGTCGATAAAAAGAGAACTATGCCGACAACAAAAATTATGCCGACAATAATTTATAATTCTTATACATAAATAATTACAAAAAAATTGCAAGTAGTGTAGGGGAAAATCTTACAGTCAGAAAAATTGACAAATGGGAAAGAAGGGTCAGTTGGTTAACGGGTTAATGCTATTATATTTCTTATCTGTTTGCCAAGGCGATACAATGAAAAGTCTGCGATGACACAGGAAGGACTATCTATTATTAGAAATGCCTTTACGTCCAGTAGCGATCAAATATGATTGTTTGATTGCTTTTGCAGAGATAAATTGTATTGGCTCCCGATACATGAACGTCGCGTTGAAACGTTTTTTCCGATAGATAATCGAGATCAAACGTTTCATTGGTGCGAAATACGAAGATTTCTTCCTCATGGAAGAATATTTTTATTTGTTATACCCTTTCCGGGCATGTATCTTCCACAGGATATCTCAGGTCTCGCGCGCATCTTGGACTAACTTCAATAGCTTTAAAATGTTGCCTCTATTATAATTTTAATCGGTCTCCATCGCCCAATTAACATTGTTCTTTAGAAATTTGAGAAACATCGCGAGGAATAAATTAAATAAAATAAATAGTAAATGTAACTTTCTCCTTTTTGAAGATAAAAAAATCTAGAACTTTGATGTTGCAATAAACACAACGGGGAACACAAAGACGAAACGAAGCAATAATAAAATGTACACTTGAAAATTACATTGATTACAATTGGAAAAATACTCTGCCATAAATCGGTCTTAAAAATTGTACAATCGTGTATATTCAAAATTTGTAATTTTATTAGAATCAATTAATGTATTAAAATAAAAATTTAAAGATTCACACTCGCACGATATATTTTGTCTAATTCTTAAATAATTCTGGAACCAATTAATTAATTTAAACAAATAAAAATAGATTTAAGGAGCTCATCTTTGTATTATATTTAAAGCAACCGAGATTGCTACAACTTTTCAATTCGAGAAATGGAGCAATCGGGAAAGGTGCAATGTACGCTCGCCAATATTATAGAGACTCCCAGATATACCGCAGTGCGGCACGGATTACGACAGACCCTTACCAATAAATTTATATCGAAAAATAGCTAGAAATGTGAAAGAATTCATGTCATTCCACATCAACAATACATGGTGATACAAAATGGTCTTCTTCAAAAATCATACATGGAAAGAACAACTTTGCTGAAGTATCTAAAAACTTAACTAGCTACAAATCTAAAAATAATTTTATTAAATTATCAAAATAATTATGTAGGATACTCAAGCGGGTTTCTAAAATATAAAAATTGTTTACGGCATTGCTCATCATGTTTCATATATAATTAATTTAATGATTCAACAAAATTATTCTCAGATCTAATTAAATTTTATATATTTCTGCAAAATTGTTCTTTTCATACGACTTTCCACACGAAAAGAACAGTTTTATTAAAATATTCAAAAATTTAGCCAGATACAGATCAGAAAATTTTGTTAAACCATCAAAATAATTTTGTAGCAAGTTCAAGCTGGTTGCTAGAATGTCAAAACCTTTTACAGCATTACTCATTATGTTTGAGTGTTCCATACGTATAATAGTTTTGACAGTCTAACAAAATTATTTTTAGATCCCTATTATCTAGCTAAATTTTTTGATACTTCAGCAAAATTATTCTTTCCGTATGTCTAAACGAAGCTTAACAACAATCACGATCATATACTAATACATATTTAGGAAATTTCATAGAAGGAAATTTCAAATTTCAATATATCATACATATTTTATTGCTTCGATTCGTCTTGTTAAACTCACCATTCTGTGAGGCACAGAGAGGCGATATATGTATATAGAAGTATATTTATATATTATTTGATTTAACGGAGAGAATTATCTCGCGAAACCACGCTGATGTTTCACCACTTATTCTACTTCCACGGGATTACGAATATCGCGAAGAGGTGATAGAACCGGCGCGGACGCACGGTCCGACGCCGTCGGAGAGGACCCGCGGAGTTGCACGTCCACACGATGCTTCCCGTTTTATCGATTTCCTCGATGAAGCTGCGCAGCCACGAGGAGCGCACGAAGCGATACCGCAAACAATGCAGAACGATGGCCGAGGGGCGATTACAATAAGACTCTCGAGGTTTAACAGTTGTATGATAAGATGATAAGTTATTCTTTCGACGCGAGACAATAATCTTAGGGTTACGGCTCTCGCATACGCCGGTCGCGCGCACGTGCACCGTCTTGTACATATTGTATCTCTCATTTTGTAACGATGAATAAAAAAAAAATATTAATTAAAATATTAACTCTGAATATGAATTCTATTTTGAATCTGCACCTGCAAATTAATTGCTTAACAATCATGAAGTCTTTAATTTTAAGATATTAAAATCTTTTAAAGATATTTCTAAACGAGCATGTAAAACACTAAAAAGTGTTTAGTTTTGAAAAGTATCTTATTCCAAAACACATAAAGAATTTTTTAAAGTACATTATTTAGAAACACCTCAAAGATGTTTAGTTTAAAAAAATTTTTTAAACTGAAAACGCTGTTTTCTTTTAGATAATGTTTAGTTTCTATAAAGACAATTAATTTTATTTCATTAAATTTGCCAGTTTTGCGAGAAAATTTTCCAATGCGACATCATCTCTCGTATTTCGATATATTAAAACACTTATTAGCATCGTAAGTAATATCTTATGTTTCAAAATGCTTCACTTTCTGTATAAACGTTTAGTATCAATTAAATGTTTTGTTTTTCAAGGCGAAGAAAGTGAACTTTCAATTATCATAATGACTTTTTCGTTTACTTGTAAGAAAAAAATTAATACTTTTTAATAATTTAAATAGTTATGTAGTTAAAACTTTTTTTTAATAATTAAATAGTCAAATCTAAACATTGTCTTAAAGATGTTTAGATTCAAAACACGAAAACGGCTGAAACATCTTTTATTATTAAACGTTTATTTTGGAAAATATTATTTAAATGTAAGCATTTTAAACCCTGCACTTTTTACAGTAAATCGATTAATAAAATATAATAAATAATGTCAGCTTGTTACATAATTATATGATAAATACACAAAACTTCTCACACAAATACACAAACTTTTTTGTCTGTAAAGTGTGAGATACTTTACATTTTTCTAGGATACGTGTTGGAATTATCTATAACAAATTTTGATTAGAATATAATTATTTCTGGATTTCTATATTATGTTTTCTAGGGAAAACGGAATAATTGCGATCCAAATCTATTCCAAATAGTTACCATAATATGTGCCCAAAATCTGAAATAATTTCCAGCAGTTCGATCTTAGCAATTTGAATTTTATATTAAACTAACACGAATTGTCAAAGATTATTACTGCGTTTATCTATCATTTCATAAAGTAAAAAATTTATTGTTAAATACATTTTATTGATATAGCTTATGTACATTAACGGGACACAATTCTTTTTTTACATATATGCAGTCTAAGTTACTGACGACGATGAATCAAATTTATTAAAATTCAGTGGATTTTCATGCTGCTGCTGCTTGCCGTATCCTCTTTTCTCTTTCAAGAAGACGACGTTCCCTTTCATATTCTTTCATTCTTATGACATAACTGTAACAGATACAATATTATTATTAATGTATCTTGAAAAATTTATAATATGATACAGGTATTCCAAACAACATGAGATACTTACTCTTCAACGTAGCACTCATAATATTGGTGTCTTTCATGCGCGCACTTCAACATTAAGGGATAATGACGTCTCTTACACTCATGTAATTCCATATACTTGTGGGCGCAATAATCGCGTCTGTCATGAGGAATCTTGAAAGCCATCATATCTTCTTCTGATAACGGTATCTCTGTAAATTTAGCACACTAATTAGAATTTGGACGGAACACATATCCTGATATCTAATTAAAATATAAAATTTGAATCATAAATGCTATTGCTGACCAGATATAACTCTTCAGTTAACGATAAATATAGGCAATTAAAACATAACATATTCTAATTTTTTAAATATGATATTAATGATAAAACAAAATGTCATACTAAAAATCAAAACTCAATTATTCACTAAATTATTCACTAAATTAATTAAAGATAATTACAGTCACATAAAAACATTTAAATTTTTAACTTACTTTTCATGGATAAATCATTCAAGAATAAAACATATATTCAAGTGAGCTTCTTTCCGATAAGATATATTAATATTTTCATGCACTTTTCATATATCCAATAAGCAAAATGTTAGTAAAATAATTCATTAGTATACATATTTGAGAGCAGAATATTATTGCAGGTCTCAACATTAATTGCATCTACATTAAATTTAACCAAGCAGAAACTACAGATATGTTATCTAACAGTAAATCAGCAAGAGGTTTGTGTATCTTAAAATAAGATAAAAATTACAAAAATTAATTAAAATCACTAAAATATTTATTATTTCATTTGTCAATACCTACCTAGTGAATTTGTTTATTTTTTAATTTTCGCCTCATTTCAAAATACACAAGATGCTTTTTATTTAATGACACATACACAAGTCATACAAATATCATTCTATCTTTAACATTCAGAGAATAACAAAGATAGAAGAACCCTTCTATCAACTTGTATTACCAAATGGAAAGCACTCACACAACTGATTCTCTGATCTCTGGAGATTGATTCAGTGTCTTGAAACAAGGTGAAAATTACAAAAAGTGAGCGAATTTACTAAAATATTTATAATCTTATTGGTCAATGCCTAGCAAGTTTACTCATTTTTATAATTTTTCCTTTATTTCAAGATACAGAATCGATTCCCTGATTCCTGATTTTATTTAGTTTCTGCAGTCAATCTGTTATTATATATTCTACTAACAGATTCTATTATATTTTTGCTAACAATCTACCAACAAAATTGGTAGCAAACATTTTGGAAAATTTCTTTCAATTTTGAATATTTGGATATTTAATCATGGAGGTTGGATAGATGTATGAAGTCGATTACAATACACACATAAATAAATAGCTAATAAAATTCAGTCCAATAATTATATCATACGATTTCGACAAGAGGATCTATCAAAACCAGATGACAAATGACAATAAAAAATTCTGATTACACATCTAGACAATCGCAAATACACATTCAATTGGTAACAAAATATTACGCGATACAAAAAGAGGTTAGGTTCGAACATACCTCTGATTTTTCGACCATTAGGAAATCCATACATCGGATCGAACGTCGGTTTACCGTCGGACTTGGGCATTGTGTCGGGATGCGTTATGTAGGTAGCGATGTAATTACCCATTATTTAATTCAAGTTGTATCCAGCAAAGCAAACAATCGAAAGAAAATTGTGAATGCACCGTGTTGGATTGGACTGACATCTACTCATCTAACTTATATAACATATATTGACGTATATCGTACACAAAACCAAATTACATCGATTAATTCAAATAATTATGTATTTATTATATAAATTATTAAATTATATTTGATGAATTGAAAATTTAGGAATTCCATATCTAAACAATTTTGTCAAAACTAAATAAATAAAAAGTTAAGAAATTTCTCACAAGCTGGACCTTACAAATGCAAATATATATTCATATATTTCATATTTATCCAATTTGTTCAAAGATCAAAACTTTATGTTCTCTGCAAATTCATGTATAAAATGAGTTTATATACAATTACAAAGGGAGATTTAATAATAAGAACAGTTGTTTGAAAATACTCTTTATTAATCTGAAATAAATATATTGATATATTAAAATAATGTTCAGTGTAATAATGAGGAATAATTATGAAAGTCGCTTCCAGGCTAATCTCCATACTTTATTTTTTACAAAAAAGTAATTTGTATTATTTTAAAGGAGTAGTAGATCTGTGTAGTATACAATTTTTTATCAGCATCATATGTGTACTTATCACGGCCTACTCCGTCAAGCTGCATACTTACAATAGGAAGTTTGTTTTTCAACTTCATAATTTAATCGTCATCCTCTTCCATAGGTTCTGCAGCTCCACTACCTGAAACATAATATGATATAAAATACAATATTATATAATAGAATCCAAATTTTTTAATAATCGTTAATTTTCGTTTCTAAGTCTTTAATGTGTA